GGAACGAAGTACGGCCGAGGCCGCGCGGCAGCTCCAGACTCAGCAGGGACAGCACCAGCACCCTCAGCGACAGCACCAGCGCCACCAACACCTCCAGCGGCAGGACCTCCAGCAGCACCAGCAGCAGAACCACCGCCAGGACAGACAGCAGTAGTCTCAGCACCAACACCCTCAGCAGCTCCAGCTCCAGTAGGACCCGCAGGCCCAGCAGCTCCGGGACCGACAGCACCAGCACCCTCGACGGTCGACGAAGCTCCAGCTCCAGCAGCACTCCTCCAGCGGCGAGCAAACCACTCACGCATCTCCTGTGGAGAGAGGGGCTCCCGGCGAGACGCAGCAGCAGGAGAAACCCCAGGCTCAGCAGCTCCAGACTCAGCACCCCCAGGCACAGCCGCTCCAGACTCAGCACCTCCAGGCTCAGCAGCTCCAGACTCAGCACCCCCAGACTCAGTAGCTCCAGCTCCAGTAGGACCCGCAGGCCCAGCAGCTCCGGGACCGGCAGCACCCTCAGCAGGCGAAGAAGCTCCAGCTCCAGCAGCACGCCTCCAGCGGCGAGCAAACCACTCGCGCAGCTCCTGTGGAGAGAGCGGCTCCCGCCGAGACGGAAGAACCAGAGAGCCCCCAGGTCCAGCAGGCGCAGGCTCCGCACCTCCAGGCCCAGCACCCCCAGGCTCAGCAGCTCCTGACGTAGCACCCTCCGGCTCAGCACCCCCCGGCTCAGCACCCCCAGACTCAGCACCCCCCGGCCTCGCACCCCCAGGCTCAGCACCCCCAGGCTCAGCACCCCCAGCAGCAGCACCCCCAGGCTCAGCACCCGCAGCAGGACCAGACTCAGCAGCAACCTCGACTGGCTCGACCGTGTCTACCTGGGACACACCTGAAGGGGCAGGAACCTGAGGGGGGAGGGGGTCTACCGGGGGGGGAACTGGTACCAGGAAGTCCGGTGGGGGGGGAAGGGAAGGAGTACGGTAGGGGAAGAGGCGGTAGAAGGGGACTGACTCGTCGAACGTGACGTCCTGGGAGGACAGAACACGACGAGAGGAGGGGTGGTACAACTGCCACCCTGGAGCGTCAGGGGGGAAGCCAAGGAAGACACAGGGAGCAGCACGGGGGGACAGCTTGTCCGCAGACAAGTCGCGGACAAACGCCCGAGATCCCCAGACACGGAACGCAGACGCATCGCCGACCTTCCCCGTCCACAGTAACACTGGGGACATCGCGGGCCGAGAGACCCTGGGGTGAAGGTTGAGCTGATGCGCCGCGTACCGAACCGCAAACGGCCACAGAAAATGGGGGGCAGCCGCATGCATCATGGACGTACGAGCGACATCCATGACCATGCCAATGCGGCGCTCAGCAATCCCATTTTGCTGTGGAGAGTCCGGAAGCGTAAAGGTCTGGCGGATCCCCTGTGCACGACAGTAGTCTCGCAGAAGGCGAGAGGAGAACTCCCCACCTCGGTCAGAGTGCAGACGCAGAACAGGAAAGTCCGAGCCGAAGCTCCTCCTGAGCTGGAGACGAGCCTCGCGGATCCAGTCGATCAGCACCTCAGTGACAGCACCCTTGCTGCGCAAGGGGAAGACTGAGGTGTAACGCGAGTAGTCGTCAACCACCAACAGGAAGTAGCGCTCGTGACCCTGCCCACGGACGGGGGCCGGGCCCCACACGTCCATGTGAAGCGTCTGCAGAGGAGCCTCTGTCGGGGGAAACTGGGAGGAGTGAGGAGCAGCCCTGAGGCGCCCCTCGACACAGGGGACACAGGAAGGTCCTGGTCCCGAAGGAAGGGGAGGGAGAGACTGGGGAAGACCAGAGACAAGGACACGGGAAGCCATGCCCCGAAGACGGGGCAAGGAGGGGTGGCCTAGACGGTGGTGCCACAGAAGAGTCTCGTGAGACAGGAGGCGACACGAACAGGGGGCAGACTCAGGACCAGACCTGGACGCAGCAGCAAACACCTGACCCGACGCTGCTACCTGACCGGACGCGGGGACAGGAGGAGACTCAGTGGTCAGGGTGTAGAGGCTCGACCCCGGCCGACGCGAGAACATGGCCAGGTGCCGGCCTGTGCGTGCGTCCGTGCAGTGGGTCACCCGCTGACTCGCAGGAGTGAACTGGTGAACCCCCGCATCCTGTAGGTCTGCACCACTCACCAAGTTCGTCGAGAACGAGGGGAGGTACAGGCCAGACAGGGTGCCCGAGGGGGCAGCCGGACACGGGAGGACAGTGGAGAAGTGAGCGAGGACAGGACCCCCAGAGGGGTCAGCCAGGGAGACCGCAACCGGCCGACCAAGCGGCGTGAGTGTGGTGCGGTCCCGAAAGAAGGAGCGAGAAGCCCCTGAGTCAAGTGTAAAGGTGAGGGAGGCCGAAGCCAACGCGGTACCTGAGAGCGCAGCCTCACCCGCACCTGAGGAAGCAGACTCACTAGCACCTAGAGCAGCAGCCGCACCTGTACCTGGAGCAGGAGAGTCACTAGCACCCAGAGCAGCAGCCTCACCAGTAGCTAGAGCAGCAGGTCCTATACCTGGGTCAGGCGGGACGCACAGGTGACCGGCACGGTCAGCACTAGTAGGCAATGCATACATGGCAGTGAGAATAGCATCATAGTCAAGAGCATATATATCTACCCTCTGCCTAAGCAACTCCACCCAGTCGGGAAGCTCAGCCTCGTCGCCAAACACGGTACGCCAGGCGTCGCTCAGACGGGCGAAGCAGCGGGACGGTGTATGACTACGTGTCCCACAAGGCTGACCAGTCCGAGTACCAGTGCAAATCACGTAAGAGCAGCGAACAGCACTGAGAGACCCTCCACTCTGAGCGTACCACTCACGAAGCTGGCGAGGCGTGAGAGACACGCGAGAGGGTCGCGGGAGCTGCATCTGGCCGCCACCACGAGTAGAAGCAGCAGGAGTGGTAGTAGGAGTAGCGTCGCCACCCCTACAGCCCCAACCAGCGTACCACTCACGCAGCTGCTGGGGCGTGAGGGACTCACGCCGGCGTCGCTGGGGCTGCATTTGGCTCCGCAAGTAGAAGCAGGAGCAGGACTAGCAGCAGGGAGGCAGGCAGCCAGGCAAGCCAAAAGGCAGGCAGGCAGGCAAGCAGGCGACGCGCAGCGTGCTAGCAGGGCAAGAGCTCACCAGTGGTGGGAAGAGTAGGCTCGGCGACTCAGCGGCTCGGCAGCTCGGCGGCTCGGCGGCTCGGCGACTCGGGCGGCTCGGCGGCAAGGCGGCTCGGCAGCAACTGCAGCTCAGCAGCTCGGTGACTCGGCGGCTCGGCGGCAGGGCGGCTCGGCAGCAACTGCAGCTCAGCAGCTCAGCGACCCGGCGGCTCGGCGGCAGGGCGGCTCGGCTGCTGGGCGGCTCGGGTGCAGGGCGGCTCGGCGGTGGGGCGGCTCGGCTGCTGCAGGTGAGCGGCTCGGCTGCTGCAGTGGGAGATGAAGGAGGAGGAGAAGCAGGGGAGGCCACACACCTGCCACCAAGCGGCCCCCTCAGGTCGCCTCGACAGGCGACGGGAAAAGGGGGGGTGGGTGGTGGGGGCCGGTAGGTGCAGCGGCGGGGCCAGCAGGTGCAGTTGCGGGGCCGGTAGAAGGGGACGGCAGGAGCCGTCAGGAGGGGACGGCGGGGCCGTCAGGAAGGGACGGCGGGGCCGTCACGAAGGGACGGCGGGGCCGTCAGGAGGTGACCGGGCCGCGACGGGGGCAGGCGGCGGGGCCGCGTAAGGGCCTGGGCGGGGCCGCGACAAAGCCGTCGGCGGGGCCGCGTGAAAGCCGGGGCGGGGCCGCGTAGAAGCCGGGCCGGGGCCGCGCGAGAGCAGGCGGCGGGGCCGCGAGAGAGCAGGCGGCGGGGCCGCGTAAAGGCCGGGGCGGGGCCGCGACAGAGCCTGCTGCGGGGCCGCGTGAGAGCCGGCGACGGGGCCGCGTAAGGGCCGGCGGCGGGGCCCCGTCAAAGAGGGCGGCGGGGCCGCGTCAGTGAAGGCGGCGGGGCCGCAGGGGAAATGGCGACCCGAGGGGTCGCTAAAAAAAAGATCGCGCCTCGGGGGGCGCTTCGGTGGGCCCAAAAAACCGGTTCGTAGAAGGACCCGCTCTATACCATGTGAGAATAAGCGAACAGGAATGAATGAACTAGAAGTGAAATGAGTACAAGTAGTAAACCCTAGAATTGTGTACCCCCTATAGGCTAACCCACTGTAGCCTACACAAGCATAACATATATAATGTTTGACACAGCGGTCGTCACAGGGTTACACCTTCAGCCTTGGTTCCGGCTCTGTTTCGTGGCGGGCTACTCGCTCGTCTTCTGTTCTCGGCTCCAGTTGTGAGGCTGAGATCTACGCTAGAGCCATGGCTGCTCAGGAGCTTCGCTGGCTCACCTACCTGCTGAGTGAGCTCGGAGAGCCGCCTCGTTCTCCTCCAGTGCTGTACGTAGACAACAAGGCCATGCTGGCCTTGTGTCGGGAGCAGCGCCTGGAGCACAGAACGAAGCAGATTGCTCTCCGCTACTTTCTTGCTCGTAAGCTGCAGCAGCGTGGTCAGTTGCGACTTGCGTACGTGGCCTCTGAGGCCAACACTGCTGATATCTTCACTAAGGCACTTGCGCCTTGTGATCATCAGCGCTTCTGTACTCAGCTTGGTCTTATGCCTGTCTTGCCTCACTTGCTCACTTCTTGGCCTTGCTTGTACTGTCACATATATATACTGCTGCTCTTGCTTGTTTAGCCTTATATATATATATGTGTGTGTACTCCTGCATGTGAACCGGCCGTCTGGCCTTGAACTTGTGCTCGGAATGTGTGGTGACTTTGTGATCCACCCTGAGCTTTGCTTTGCTTTGCTTGACTGGTCTTGTGACCCCTTGTTCTCCCCTACTTTGCCTATGGGGGTGTGTCAGATTTGTATGACATAGCTGTTGTAGGCTATAGTGGAGTAGCACATATGGGGTACAGCTTTCTAGGGTTGCTTTTGTACCCAACTTTCACTTAGTCATTTCATTCTCGTTCTAAGTTTCTCAAGGACCCCCAGAGGGGTCCGCTAGGGAGACCGCAACCGGCCCACTAAGCGGTGTAAGTGTGGTGCGGTCTCGAAAGAAGGAGCGGGAAGCACCCGAGTTAAGGGTGAAGGTGTGTAAGGCGTGAGTCGACGTGCTACCTGAGAGAGCAGACTCACCAGCACCTGGGGCAGCAGACGCACTAGCACCTAGAGCAGCAGCCTCAATGCCCGGGCCAGGCGGAACACACAGGTAACAGTCACCCTCATCACTAGTAGACACAGGATACATGGCAACAAGAATAGCATCATAATCAAGATCAAAGATAGCAACCCCCGACCTCTGCAGCTCTCCCCAGCGAGGGATCTTAGTGACGTTAGGGAACTGGAGACGCCAAGCGTCCGTCAAGCGGCCGAAGCAGCGCTGGGTGGGGTGCGGGCCCCTGCACTGCTCACCCGTACGGTCGCTGGTACGCAGGACGTAGGTACAGGGACCAGTACCCCCACCCCGCTGATGCGAAGCGTACCACTCACGAAGCTGCTGGGGGGGCGGGGTCTCACGAGCGCGCTGCTGGTGCTGGCGCTGACCACCACCGAAGCCGCCCCGCTGCGCAGAGCCACCCCGACTAGCTCCACCACCTCCGCCGCCACCTCCGCCACCGCCGCCACCGCCTCCTCCTCCGCTCCCACCGCCACCGCCGCCGCCGCCTCCGCCGCCACTGCCGCCACCGAAGCCCCCACCCCTGCCACCACTCCCACCACCACCCCCACTCCCTCCGCCTCCTCCACCGCCACCTCCACCGCCCCCGCCAGCCCCTTCAGTGCCCTTGCCCCCCTTGCCCTTGCCGGTGCGGCATCGCCTGCTAGGGGCAGACGCAGCGCCGAGCGACTCGGTGCCAATGAAGTCGACGGCAGCAGCAGAGGCAACAGAGGGCAAAAGGGGGGAGGGGGAGCACCCCTCAAAGACAGGGGCACGAGGGTCACCTCGAGAGGCTCCTAGAGCGACTATATTCTTCTCAGCTGCCAGGAGGCGCTCCTCGAGGAGGTCAACAGTGAGTGTGGTGGGGCAAACAGAGAGGAAGTGGTCCCTGACCGAGCGAAGGGAGTCAGGGAGCCGGGTGACTATGTAGTAGAGGGTGATGTACATGGGGGCGGGTGTTCTTGGCGCAGAACTCAGCGGGAAGCGCAGTGCGGTAGCGGGTGTCACTAGTGCGAAGGTGTGTAACGAGGTCAGCGACAGTGGGAAAGGCGGCGAGGTCAGGAAACAGGTACGGCAGCATGAGGCGGCTAAGAGCAGTAGTGGCTGGGGAAGAGTAGCGTGCAACTACAACGTCGTCCAAGGTCTTAGCACTCTTGTACTGACTAGAGTGCGCACGCTCAGCGGTCGGTAAGTGGCGACGCACAGCAAGACAGATAGCAGCATCGCGTGTGGCCCCAATGTGAGCGAATAGTGCTGTCAGCATCAGCAGGCGGGGCAGGAGAGGCACCAGAGGTGAGATCGAACAGGGAGAGTCCGTCTGCCCTATCGCACTGTAGGAAGAGTTGTAGGTCATCGACTCAGACCTCGAAGTCAACAGCACGACCCTCAGCATCAAAGGTAAGGACACTGGGGGTAGCCATGACAGCAGTGGTCTAGCAGGGAGTGCTCTCACCATTCTGGGTGGGTAGGGCCGGGGCGCGCCGGTAGGAACAGAGCTGCAACCGCGGTAGCAGCGGCTCGGCAGTGGCAGTAGCGGCTCGACGGCGGCTCGGCAGCAGCGGCTTGGTAGTGGCGGCTTGGCGGCCTCGGCGGCTCGGCTGCTCGACGGCGGCTCAGCAGCAGCGGCTTGGTAGTGGCGGCTTGGCGGCCTCGGCGGCTCGGCTGCTCGGCGGCTCGGCTGCTCGGCAGCTCGGCGGTTCGGCGGTTCGGCGGCTCGGCGGTTCAGCGGCTCGGCGGCTCGACGGTTCGGCGGCTCGGCGGTTCGGCGGCTCTGCGGCTCGGCGGTTCGGCTGGTTGGCGGCTCGGCGGCTCGGCGGTGAAGGGGCCGGGGAGGGGCCGAAAGGGGGCGGCAACGAGGCCGCAAGGGGCAGCAACGGGGCCGCAAGGGGCGGCGACGGGGCCGCTAAGGGCGGCGACGGGGCCACGAAGGGGGGGCGACGGGGCCGAGAAGAGGCCGCGAGGGGCCGTGAAGGGCGGCGAAGGGGCCGCTAGAGGTGGCGACTGGGCCGCGAGGGGCGGTGACGGGGCCGTAAAGGGGCCGCGAGGGGCCTCGAAGGGAGGCGACGGGGTTGTTAGGGGCGGTGACGGGGCCGCGAAGGGGCCGGGCGGGGCTTAGAAGGGCAGCGACGGGGCCGCAAAGGGCGGCGACGGGGCCGCTAGGGGCGGCGACGGGGCCGCGAAGGGGCCGCGAGGGGCCTAGAAGGGCGGCGACGGGGCCGTATAGGGTGGGGACGAGGCCAATAGGGGTGGCGACGGGGCCGCGAGGGCCCACTAGGAGGGCGCGACAGGCCGCTAAGGGCAGGGGACGCGACGAGAGGGCAGCCCACGGGGCGCGCCTCGGGCAGGGGCGACTCGCGCTCCGGTCAGGAAAAAAAAAAAATCGATTTCAGTGGTGGGCCCTAAGAAGCGTTCCCACTAGGGAACCTGCTCTATATCACGTGAAGAAATGAGGAATGAATGAACTAGCAAGCAGGTGGGTACAAGTAGGAAAACCTAAAAGTGTTGTACCCCATATTATCTTCCCCACTACAGCCTACACAGACTATAGCATATGAGTTTGACACGAAAGACCTTTTCAGCTTCCGGATTCGCACCCTCGGTAACATCAGGCTCGTCTTCCTGCCGCCTAACAATATGCCTTCATGCAGCCGCTCGATCAGGGTCTGATCCCAACGATGAAGTTGCACTACCGCCAATTCTGGCTCGCTGCGGTCATGGCTCTGTGGCAGGACGCGGGTGCCACGACCGCCATGGAGCGCTACCGGCCGAATATGCGCGACGTCATCCTCTGGCTCAGTGAAGCGTCGATGAATATCCCTGTGCGCACGATCCAGCATTGCAGGTGGCGCACAGAGTGCATGCCGCGCTCATGGGCCATGGATCTGGCGCATGTCGGCTTGGACGGCCTTGCTGCAGTCGGCAACAGCGTAAACGCTGCTCTCCCTATCGACCTTGACGAGGATATCGGGGATGTTGGCTTGATGAACGCACGCCTCAGCCTCGGGCCTAGCGCCATGCCGGCCGCCGCTTTCGTCGCCATCGACGACGATCGGCCAACGTGCGCCGAGCCGGGCGAGGACCCGCTCGCCCTTGAGCATGCGGCGGGATATTCGTACGCGTCGTGGGAGGCGCCGACCGCCATGCAGGTTGTGTACGACGATGACAATCCAGAGAGCCGCGAGGCGCGACGCTGTGCACAGGCGGCGAGCGAGATGCTCGTTGGCTACGCACGTGCTACCGACATCACGCTGCGCAACCCTTGTGCGTTTTTCGAAATTTGGAACCCCGTCATCGTCGACCGCATGGAGCACACAAGCCCCGCCATGAACCTGAACACGACGTCGTCGCCCGCTCCCCAGCCTGTCGCGTCCCCTGCAGCCGCTCGTGGGCTGGCATCTGTCGCCATCACACCGGCTACCACTCCTCGTCGCCGCGGGCGCATTCTACCAGCGTGGATGTACGCGCCTGCTCCCAGCCGCCAGCAGCTGATTGACTCTGGCGTTAGTGCCGTCATGATTGGCCATGTCGATGCAGCAAAGTGGATGATTTTGTGAAGGATTTGTTTCACCCCTTATAGGAACGACTCTCTGTGCACCAATGTGCGCAACTTGTACACAATTGTGCACTTAGTAGCCCCGTGTGTTGGTTGGGGTGCGCAGCTGGAAGGCTGGTATTGGCTGAAGTGAGAGTGTTGTATGTTCGTGCCTGTTTGCGAGTGAACATGTAATCGGGGGCTACAGAAATGGGTGACTTAAGTGTTAACAAGCGCAACATATAACAAACAACCACAGCCACCCTGCAATGATGTCCCTTAACTTGAACAGGGTGTTACACGTTCCACTTAAACGCCCATAATGACCGAGGCGAAGTGCGCGAAATGACAGAACCGCTTATAGACCCTTTCACAGGGCGGGTATGGGCGATTCAAATGCGTATTAGGTGTATTTCACATCTCGTCACTGTTATGTCACATCCTGGGGCCTGACGCTTTCATCAACTTGCTGTAATTGTGTATCATTCCTGCGACTGTAGTCCAAGGTTCGATCCAACGAACAGAGAGATTCCTTTATGACGACTGGCTCTTCCGTCAGTCAAGCCGCTGCATCCAGCACAGTTCTAAATTCCAACCCCAATCGCACAGTACAGTACAGTTCTTTGCAGTTATCGATGGAGAGTTTTATGAGTTGCAAACCATGGCTTCCCCTTAGCTCATAATTATGGACTTGAAAGATCGATTGCTTTTCTGTTGTCATCCTCCTGAAACTACGGTTGATCTTAGGGGGACTATGGTCGCTAATGGGCGCTCGGTTTGGGATAGGTCTTTTTAGAACGTGTAACTTTCTCTAATTCTACCTGTCCGGACGGCCCATCGTCCGGAATTCGGTAAGGTTATTAATCTCGTTAGTGTTCGCTAGGTCTTTGATTCGTTGAAGGATTTCGCTGAAGTTCGTAACCCTTTAAAAGTCCGGACGGTGGGCCGTCCGGACGGTCAAAAAGAGAAGGCTATACGCCCTTAAGCGCCCCCAGATTTCTCCAGACAGCGGGGGTAGTTACTGAAACAGTTCACTGTTTTCATGCACCTCCCTGGTTTGCAGCTGGTAATCTCACGCAGGCAGCCTGGCAGGGTGGACCGCTGTTGACCAGCAGAAGCTCCGTGAAAAAGTCAGCTTTACATGAAGTTACACCCATTTTTTCTTTCTGCTTAACAGAAGTTAGCTTGGATATATACGGAAACTACCTGCGTTTTGACTGCCTCTGCTGAGCTTGTGGGGACGAGTTTGATTGTAAATGTTTTTGAAGTAACATATATCTGGTGTCTTGTTAAATCACACTTATTCGTGTGTCAGGAATCAAATCTGCTTTCTTTGCGATAAAGTACGAACGACGTGGTACCATTTTCATGTTGAAATAATTAAGCTACGTCTCTCTGGAATTTGGTACTGTTATTCGAGTCGGATGGAAACACGTCGTAGACTGTATCCTCCTCGCACCCCTCAAGCGGAGGCCACATGTACACGTACTTTTCTGGATGTGCGAACTTCAGAACGCATCTTGACCTTGCCGTGAGGTGTGGCTGCCATTTTCGTTTGCGCTACTTTGATTGTACACTGCAAAGCCACACCTCACGGCAGCCGCTATGTGGCAGTCGAATACGGGACAGGATATAGGCAGGTGCCTCACTACGATTTAGAGAGTAATTGTGGTAAACACTCCGGAAAACGAGTAAATTTTGTAGCCTCCATTGAAAGCAGTAAGGGAAAATTTGCGCGACGCGCCAGTGCGCGAACTTGTTTTAAGTCTATTAACCAATCTCGCAACGCAGGTAGGGCGACCAAACCACGTCCAAATGGATCAAAATACACGCGCTATTGCGATTGTACTGCAAGTTTTGATGTGTGGGAGTCGGTGGTTCCTCTCGATATCACTATTTTGGTGGCGCGAAAATGTTTGGCGCGTGTGTCACGCTTCCTGTCTACATAAGGACAAAATTTAATATGGGGCCGACAATAAGCCCCGAAATACAGGGACGCAATTCGGGAGGCATCAGCCCTGAACAAAGATGTCAAGGTGTTTAGGCTTGATGCCTCGAATGTGGTGCAATTCGGGGGGTATCAACCCTAAATAGGGGAGCTGGCAAGGTGTTTAGGGTCGATACTTTGAAAGCGGTGCCTGGCTCCCTAGGGGTTTTAGTTTGTTTAACACCGTATAAAAATCAAGACATAAAAAAATCAGCATAAGACAAGCCTTGTCGGCGCGACTAGATTGAAGTGACGTAACACGTCGCAAAATCTGTCTTTGTTGAAAGATTTGAAACCCCATGCTGTAATTTCGTGAATCTCAGCGTAAATCCAAATTGCACCTGTAACGCTGAGATAAACCTGTTTGAAGCATTAATATAACGTGAAATAAAGTGTAAATTGACTCATTTGGACGAGGTTAGGTCGCCCTAACTGCGGTGCGAGCTTGGTTGATGGAATTAAAAAAAGTTCGTGCGCCGGCGCATCGCGCAATCTCGCCAGCAGTAAGACAAGGATGGTCCTTCCTTGCCCTACCCACCGAGCAGCGTTTGCCATCCTTTTCTAGAAGCACGTCGACAACCTCACCTGCGTCATCATGACGGCTGCGTTTTGGCTTTGGTGCCAGAGGCCAGTCGACGCAAGATGTGGTGAGTTGCATTGCGGGTGACAAGTATTTTTTGGCTCTTTTAGGTAGGAGTTAGCGGTGCTCCACCCTAGGCAAAATTCACCTCTGGCTCCAGTCCGCTCCACTTTCCCCAGACCAGACCAGAAGCTTTGGAGGAGCATCTGCACCACCGAAACGGAAGTCGTTTCTCTGAAGATGGACGCCGTATGAACAGCTTCTCAAGTGTTGCGACGCACAGAACAGAACACAGAATGGTTTGAAAATAGTCTTGTCAGCGGTAGTAAGGAGGTAGGATAGGGTTGGAAGTGGCACAAGAACCGGCAAACCCTAATGTAAAGTGCTCCCTACGTCGAGTAGTCCTCCCTGCCGGCCAGGTAGTGTTCCAGCAGGTCCAACAGATCACCGACCGAACGTTCCGCTAAGTGCTAGGTTCCGCGACGAGCGTTCCGTAATCTGCGTTCTTAACTGAGCGTTCCGCAAACCCGCGTTCCGCGAACCCGCGTTCCCCATTCAAGCGCTCCGCAAACCTGCAATTTCGCAAACCTGCGTTACGCACACCTGCGCAAAACTGCGTCGCGCGAGCCAGCGTTTCGAGGGCGCCGCCGCAACGGGTAGGCAGCGGATTGTCACCGCTAGAAGCGGCGGCGGTTCCGGGAGTCGAGTTACAGCTGTTTCTACGCCAGAAACCGTCCAATGGCGAGCTTTCGCAGAAGAGATAATCCGAGTGACAGGGGGGGAATCGCAGCCGTTTCCAGAAATGACTCAAGCGTTTCGCAACATAATGAGAGAGACGGGGAGCAACGGCAGCTGATTGTCACAGCGCCGGCGGCGGGGTCGAGTCAGCATGGGGGACAGGATAGTACGTTATCCGATAAGCTCATGCATTTCGACCTAGATTCCTCAGAGGCGTCTTTTTCCGCAGCCGAACCCAGCAGCGACGCGGCGACTCGCAATGATGACCTGGTCATTGACATTGCTGACGTGTCCTGCTGCTGCTTCCCGAGAATCAAACGCTCCAGTTATCAACCTGGCAGACGCGACGGTTTTTCCGCCGCCGCAGCCTCCGCCGCCTCCGCGGGGTGCTTCCCCAGCGCAGGGGGAAGGGGCACGCGACAGCGCGGAAACACTGTACAGTGGGCGCCGTCATCAGCCGCGACAGGCGGCGGCGGCGGCGGCGGCGGCGGCGGCAGCGGCAGCGGCGTATTGGCGGAAGAAGAGGAGGACGGGGAAGGGGTTGCGCGGAAGGGATTTTCGCGGTGGACTGTACGCGCGGTGCGGTTATTCGGTCTTGCGCCGGGTTGGGTGCAAGTCGTCGTGCGCATGTGCTGGTTGGCGCTGGGACTGGGAATCGCGGTGCTGGCGTTCTGGGGGAGCTATGTGGCGCAGCGGAACAGCGCAAAGGTACGGTGGGGCAGCGGAACAGCGCAAAGGTACGACGTGTTGGGCCGGAAACTGGAGCAGCGGAATTGCCAAGGTACTATGGGCCAGCGGAACAGCGCTAGAGTACGGCGTCGGAGTGAAACTGGCGCAGCGGAACAGCGCAAAGGTACGGCGTTCGGGGGAAACCGGCTCAGCGGAAGGGCGCAAAGGTACCTGTCTCCGGAAATGAATAACCGTCCCATCGCCGTTGGCTCATGTCTGAAGGAATTTTTGGGGGACACGACTCTTTCAATCGCCGATCCGTCCTGTTTCAAGCGGCTCGGGAATGTTACCGTTGGTGCTCCTCTCTCAGCCCCACCCGTACCTCACCCTCTCCACCCCCACCCCACCCAAAACGTCCCCTCGCCATGGCCCCCCACCCACCACGCCCGTTCGCCATACCCCCGCGCATTCGTCACGTCCCTTCGCCATGCCTCCTCACCACGCCCCCTCGCTCCCTCCCTCCCCCCTCTCCCCACGCCCCCTCGCTCCCTCCCTCCCCCCTCTCCCCACGCCCCCACGCTTCCTTTCCCTCCTCGCTTCCTTTCCCCCCTCCGCGCGCCCTCCTCTCCCCTTACCCCTCCCCACTCCCCCTGGCAGGGGGCGATGACGATCAAGTGCATCGACTGGCCGGCTAAGCTGCAAATCCGATCACTTTTTGAGAATTCTCACAAGCGATACGAGCCTCCTCCTCCCTTCCTCCTCCCACGCACCTTCGCACCCTCTCCCCTCCCTCCCCCCACCCCCCCCCCCCCCTCTCCACCACACGCCCCCTCGCTTCCTTCCCCTTCCCATAACGGCCCCTTGCTCCCTTCTCCCTTCCTCACGCCCCCTTGCCGCGCTCCCCACTCCCCCCTTTCGCCACCCTGGCAGGAATCAGTGCATTGATTGGTCGGCTCAGCTGCAAACCACTTTTCGAGAATTCTTGCAAGCAGTACAAGCAACCTCCCCCCCAAACACCCCCCCGCCCCCTTAACACCACCTTCCGCCTCCCGTTCCCTCCGCTCTCCCCCCCCCCCCCACACCGCGACCCCGGGCAGGAGGCAATAACGAACCAGTGCATTGATTGGTCGTCTCAGCTGCAAATCACCTTCCAAGTGGCCTCGCAGGAGGTCAGTGTTCTGAGCGCAGGCATGAGCGTGGGTTGGTGTGCGTGTGGGCGTGGGCGTGGGCGTGGGCGTGGGCGTGGGCGTGGGCGTGGGCGTGGGCGTGGGCGTGGGCGTGGGTGAGCGTGTGGGTGTGGGTGTGGGTGTGGGTGTGGGCGTGGGTGAGCGTGTGGGTGTGGGTGTGGGTGTGGGTGTGGGTGTGGGTGTGGGTGTGGGTGTGGGTGTGGGTGTGGGCTGGTTGGTTCGACTGGTCCGCTGAGCTGCAGATCACGTTCCAAATGGCCTCGCAGGAGGTCAGTGTTCTGAGCGCAGGGCATGGGCGTGGGCGTGGGCCCGGGTGGGTGTGGGTGGGCGGTGGGGCGTGGGCGTGGGTGTGGGCATGGGCGTGGGGTCGGTAAGGTGTGTCTGGCTATGTGCGCCATCTTGGTTATGCTCCTGTATATCTGCCTAATCGCTCGCGCCCTCACATTGACATCTCCTTTTTTCTCTCCCACCTGACTCGTGGTCCATTCCATCCCACTGCACTGTGTGTGTGCTGTGCGTGCACGTGTGTGCCTGACGTGCGCATGTGCGTGTGCTGTGCGTGTGCTGTGTGTATGCTGTGTGTGTGCTGGGCGTGTGCTGTGCGTGTGCTGTGCGTGTGCTGTGCGTGTGCTGTGCGTGTGCTGTGCGTGTGCTGTGCGTGTGCTGTGCGTGTGCTGTGCGTGTGCTGTGCGAGTGCTGTGCGTGTGCTGTGCTGCGTGTGCTGTGCGAGTGCTGTGTGTATGCTGTGCGTGTTCTGTGCGTGTGCTGTGCGTGTGCTGTGCGTGTGCTGTGCGTGTGCTGTGCGTGTGCTGTGCGTGTGGTGGAATGTGGTGGGAGCAGATTCAGCTGCTGTCGAGCCTGGTGACTGTGTTCTACTTTGGGAAGCAAGGAGACGCCAGACTAGACGAGGTACTCAATGCTGCCATGCTGCTATGCTGCTATGCTGCCATGCTCCCATGCTGCCATGCTGCCTTGCTGCCTTGCTGCCATGCTGCCATGCTGCCTTGCTGCCATGCTGCCATGCTGCCATGCTGCCATGCTGCCATGCTGCCATGCTGCCATGATTTGAGATGTTTCAAAACTAGATTCAGCTGCTGTCGAGTCGAGCCTGATGGCTGTTTTCTACTTTGAGAAGCTAGGCTCTAGCCAGCATACCACACTGGACGAGGTACATAGTGCTGCCTTGCTGGCAGGTGGCCTGTGTTGTATTGAGGGTTTGACACATACCTGCCACACACACTCGCATGTGCACGCATGCCCTCACGCACACACGCAGGCATGCACAAGCGTAGCACCCATGCATGCGTGCACACATGCTGAGAGTAACCTTGCACGCACACATGTACACATGCACTCACAAGCAAATAAACACAAACGCACTCACGCACACACACACATGCGCGCGCGCGTGCACACACACACACACACACACATGCACACACACAGGCACACACTCATATGCACTCGCACACCCACGCAGGCACTCACACACGCACGCAAATGCACGCATACAACCAATACATGCGTACGCACACTCACAAATACACCCACACACAAACACACATGCACGCACACACACACGCACACACACACGCACACGCACGCACACACGCACACACACACACACGCACACACACGCACACATGTTCACATGCACACACGCTGCGCATGCTTTTGCATCACATCAACCACACGCACTTCTCTCGGCCCTTGCTGGCCTGCTTTTGAATCACTGACTCGCTCTTCTATCCACCCTCCTGGACCCCCTTAGCCCCCACCCAACCCTGGTCTCCCCACCTCTCCCCCCCCCCCCCCCCTTCCACCTGCACCCCACGTGCTCCCCACTTCACACCCCCCAATAGCCCACCTTACACGACTAAGTCAACCAGACGCACTTCTCCCGCCCACCTCAGAGTGGCTCTGCCATCTCCAGTGTGCTCGCCACCTCACACCCGCCAAGAGCCCACGTTCCGCGACTACATCAACCAGACGCACTTCTCCCGCCGCTCGATTGCTCTTGCCTCACATCGGCCCAGACTCGCTCCTCCATCCCAACCCCCACCCTTTAACCCCCCCCCCCCTCCCCCCCCCCACCCTCACACCTGCCCCCCGTGTCACCCCTCGGTCCACCGGCCTCCCCAACAGCCCACGTTCCGAGACTACATCAACCAGACGCACTTCTCCCGCCCCTTCGCCTCCAACGTTGGCTTTGCTCCCTTCCTCACCACCTCCCAACGGCCCGACTTCGAAGCACTCATGCGGCGGAAACAAGAGCAGCAACAGCAGCTGCAGCAGCAGCAGCAGAAGCAGGAGGTTTTTAGCAGTTGTATACAGTGAGTGTTTTCCAGCACTTTCCGCTTGCACATTCACACACACACACACAGCGCGCTCGATTGGAGCTGCCTTTTATTAATCTCTCAGCAGCGACACAAAGTCTGAGGCGCCTGAGAAAGCTAACTCGTGGTCCACCCCCCTCCCTCTTTGTCGCTTCCTGTTTGGCGGGCTGTGCTGCTGTGTGCCTCGTCTTTCCTTGTTAGCTTGGTGCAACCCTTTGAGTCTCAAGGCTTCTCACCCCTAAACCCTGAGACACCTCACAACTCTTTTGGTGCAACCCTTTTGAGATGTCTTCCAACCCCTTCCCGTTGTCTTACAACCCCTTCCCGTTGTCTTACAACCCCTTCCCGTTGTCTTACAACCCCTTCCCGTTGTCTTCCAACCCCCCGTTGTCTTCCAACCCCTTCCCGTTGTCTTCCAACCCCTTCCCGCTGTCTTCCAACCCTTTCCCGTTGTCTTCCAACCCCTTCCCGTTGTCTTCCAACCCCTTCCCGTTGTCTTCCAACCCCTTCCCGTTGTCTTACAACCCCCCGTAGTCTTCCAACCCCTTCCCGTTGTCTTCCAACCCCTTCCCATTGTCTTCCAACCCCTTCCCGTTGTCTTCCAACCCCTTCCCGTTGTAGCTGCCTCCTGCTTTGACCTTTTTTTGCTTCCCTCTTCTCCATGCCCCTCCATACCCATCCATACCCTTCCATACCCCTCCCTTCCCATCCCATACCCCCCACAGCGCCCCCAATGCTTCCTGCATGCCGCAGCAGCCACTCTACGCGCCGTTGCTCAGCACCGACTGCTACGTTCCCATGCCCAACCAGTCCTCTGCTCCTCCCCTCTTCATACACCTCTATACCACCCCATACATTTCTGTACCCCCCCTCCGTACCCCTCCATACCTATCCCCTCCCCTCCCAGCGCCCCCAATGCTTCCTGCATGCCGGAGCAGCCGCTGTACGCGCCGCTGCTCTTCACCGACCGCTACGTTCCCATGCCCGGCCAGTCCTTTCTGGGGCTCGACATGCTCTCCAGTGAGTGCGCTCCACCTTCCCTTGTTGCTTCTTTCTAGTCGAGTCATGCGTTGCTTCCCTGCTTCTTTTTCTCCTCGGCCCACGCCCGGCCAGTCCTTTCTGGGGCTCGACATGCTCTTCAGTGAGTGCCACATGCTCTTCAGTGAGTGCCACATGCTCTTCAGTGAGTGCCACATGCTCTTCAGTGAGTGCCACATGCTCTTCAGTGAGTGCCACATGCTCTCCAGTGAGTGCCACATGCTCTTCAGTGAGTGCCACATGCTCTTCAGTGAGTGCCACATGCTCTTCAGTGAGTGCCACATGCTCTCCAGTGAGTGCCACATGCTCTTCAGTGAGTGCCACATGCTCTCCAGTGAGTGCCACATGCTCTTCAGTGAGTGCCACATGCTCTCCAGTGAGTGCCACATGCTCTTCAGTGAGTGCCACATGCTCTTCAGTGAGTGCCACATGCTCTTCAGTGAGTGCCACATGCTCTCCAGTGAGTGCCACATGCTCTTCAGTGAGTGCCACATGCTCTCCAGTGAGTGCCACATGCTCTTCAGTGAGTGCCACATGCTCTCCAGTGAGTGCCACATGCTCTTCAGTGAGTGCCACATGCTCTCCAGTGAGTGCCACATGCTCTTCAGTGAGTGCCACATGCTCTCCAGTGAGTGCCACATGCTCTCCAGTGAGTGCCACATGCTCTTCAGTGAGTGCCACATGCTCTCAAGTGAGTGCCACATGCTCTCCAGTGAGTGCCACATGCTCTCCAGTGAGTGCCACATGCTCTTCAGTGAGTGCCACATGCTCTCCAGTGAGTACCAGTTGCTCTTCAGTGAGTGCCACATGCTCTCCAGTGAGTGCCACATGCTCTTCAGTGAGTGCCACATGCTCTTCAGTGAGTGCCACATGCTCTTCAGTGAGTGCCACATGCTCTTCAGTGAGTGCCACATGCTCTTCAGTGAGTGCCACATGCTCTTCAGTGAGTGCCACATGCTCTTCAGTGAGTGCCACATGCTCTTCAGTGAGTGCCACATGCTCTTCAGTGAGTGCCACATGCTCTCCAGTGAGTGCCACATGCTCTTCAGTGAGTGCCACATGCTCTCCAGTGAGTGCCACATGCTCTTCAGTGAGTGCCACATGCTCTTCAGTGAGTGCCACATGCTCTTCAGTGAGTGCCACATGCTCTCCAGTGAGTGCCACATGCTCTTCAGTGAGTGCCACATGCTCTCCAGTGAGTGCCACATGCTCTTCAGTGAGTGCCACATGCTCTCCAGTGAGTGCCACATGCTCTTCAGTGAGTGCCACATGCTCTCCAGTGAGTGCCACATGCTCTTCAGTGAGTGCCACATGCTCTCCAGTGAGTGCCACATGCTCTTCAGTGAGTGCCACATGCTCTCCAGTGAGTGCCACATGCTCTTCAGTGAGTGCCACATGCTCTCCAGTGAGTGCCACATGCTCTCCAGTGAGTGCCACATGCTCTCCAGTGAGTGCCACATGCTCTCAAGTGAGTGCCACATGCTCTCCAGTGAGTGCCACATGCTCTCCAGTGAGTGCCACATGCTCTTCAGTGAGTGCCACATGCTCTCCAGTGAGTACCAGTTGCTCTTCAGTGAGTGCCACATGCTCTCCAGTGAGTGCCACATGCTCTTCAGTGAGTGCCACATGCTCCTCCTCCTCCTCCTCCTCCTCCTCCTCCTCCTCCTCCTCCTCCTCCTCCTCCTCCTCCTCCTCCTCCTCCTCCTCCTCCTCCTCCTCCTCCACCTGCCCCCTTGCCCCCTTGCCTCTCCACTGCTCTTCATTGCCACAACCCTTATCCACCCTATTTTCTCCCGCCCCTTCCTGTTTCTGAGGCCCTGCCTCTTTACTACTCTCCACTTCAACAACCCGTATTCCCCCTACTTCTTCCTCCCCCCCCGTCCCATGCCCACCAAACCTCTCCTCTCGGCAGTTCCTGAGTTGAAGGAAGCTGCCCGGAACATGCCCCAAGCAGGCCCGTCGGGGCTGCTGGCAGCGCCACCGGTGAAGCAGCCCCAAGAGCAACAGATCAAGCTCTTCCCCGTCTACCGTGTTTTGAGTAGACTCAAAACGTGGCTCAATTTTGAGTAGACTCAAAACGTGGCTCAATTTTGAGTAGACTCAAAAGGTGGCTCAATTTGAGTCGACTCAAAACACGGCTCAATTTGAGTTGATTCAAAACACGGCTCAATTTGAGTTGACTCAGAACACGGCTCAATTTGAGTCGACTCAAAACACGGCTCAATTTGAGTCGACTCAAAACACGGCTCGATTTGAGTCGACTCAAAACACGGCTCAATTTGAGTCGACTCAACACACGGCTCAATTTGAGTCGACTCAAAACATGGCTCAATTTGAGTTGATTCAAAACACGGCTCAATTTGAGTCGACTCAAAACACGGCTCAATTTGAGTTGACTCAGAACACGGCTCAATTTGAGTCGACTCAAAACACGGCTCAATTTGAGTCGACTCAAAACATGGTTCAATTTGAGTCGACTCAAAACACGACTCAATTTGAGTCGACTCAAAACACGGCTCAATTTGAGTTGATTCAAAACACGGCTCAATTTGAGTCGACTCAAAACACGGCTCAATTTGAGTCGACTCAAAACACGGCTCAATTTGAGTCGACTCAACACATGGCTCATTCCCCGGGAGCAACAGATCAAGCTCTTCCCCTTCTACTGCAACGCCTCCCCCGCTGCTGCCGCTGCTGCTACTGCTGCCGCTGCCGCTGCTGCTGCAACCCTCACCCGCCCGCCCTCTACCCCCCCCTCCCCTTTCCTTCCCTGTTTGCAGTTCCTGAGTTGAGAGAAGCTGCCAGGAACGTTCCCCAAGCAGGCCCATCGGGGCTGCTGGCAGCACCACCAGTGAAGCAGCCCTGGGAGCAACAAATCAAGCTCTTCCCCGTCTACCGTAACGCCTCCGCTGCCGCCGCCGCCGCCGCCGCCGCCGCTGCTGCTGGCGGTGGTGCTGGTGGGGATGCTGTGTTTGGTTCCAGTGCTGGTGGGGTTGCAGGGGCGACAGAGGGTGACTTGGGCCGGTCCATCGGAGGGCTTATTGTAGCGACACTGAACACGCCTGACATGTGCGCTCCGGTCTTCAAGGTAACAGTTCTTTTGAGACGTCTCAAAACAACACTTTTATCACATTGTAGCGATGCTGAACACGCCCGACATGTGGGCTCCGGTCTTCAAGGTAACAGTTCTTGCAGCGTCTCAAAGATGGTGCTGGTGCTAGTTCTGGTTCTGGTTCTGGTTCTGGTTCTGGTTCTGGTGCGGGTGCTGGTGCTGTAGGTGCAAGTATATCGTACTTACAACTTATCTAACGAATAAGGCTTCTCATGTGATGAGTGCGGTGGCTGGTGCATGCTGGGCTCGCATGGCTGGTGCATGCTGGGCTCGCATGGCTGGTGCATGCTGGGCTCGCAAGGCTGGTGCATGCTGGGCTCGCAAGGCTTGATCCCCTTCGCCCTCTCTGCTTCTTCCTTCCCCCTTTCCCTCCCTGTCCATTCCGCTCACACCCTGGCCCCACCCCGCCCCACCCCACCCCTGTCCTCGCCCCACGTCCATTGTTTCAAGAAGCAGAGGCACCACCCGCTAACAGGAGCAGAGGCACCACCCGCTAACAGGAGCAGCGAGGGGGCGAGTGTTTGACTCGTGATGTGGCGAGCGGCGGCTGGTGCACGCTGCTGGCCACCCATGGCATCGCATGACGCCCTTCTCCCCCTTCCCCCCTTGTCCTTCTCCCCCTTCCCCCCTTTGCCCTTCTCCCCCTTCTCCCCTTTGCCCTTCTCCCCCTTCCCCCCTTGTCCTTCTCCCCCTTCCCCCCTTTGCCCTTCTCCCCCTTCCCCCCTTTGTCCTTCTCCCCCTTCCCCCCTTTGCCCTTCTCCCCCTTCCCCCCTTTGTCCTTCTCCCCCTTCCCCCCTTTGCCCTTCTCCCCCTTCCCCCCTTTGTTCTCCCCCTTCCCCCCTTTGTTCTCCCCCTTCCCCCCTTTGTTCTCCCCCTTCCCCCCTTTGTTCTCCCCCTTCCCCCCCTTGTCCGTCTCCCCCCTCCCCCCTTTGTCCTTCTCCCCACGTCCATCCATTGAAGCAGACGCACCACCCGCTGACAGGAGCTGCGGTGGGGAGAGTGTTTGACTATACACGCGGCGAGCGGCGGCTGGTGTACACGGGGTGCCCGCATGGAGTCGCGTGCAACAGCAATGGCACAGCGGACGGCACGGCGGGCGGCACGTACTTTGCAGAGACCCGCCTGCTGGACCTTGGGAACTCCGTTGGTGTTTTCGAGCTGGAGTGCGCGTGAGTGCGGCTGGTTTGTTTTTTTTTTTTTTTGAAAATCTCAAAACACCAGCCGACCGCTGGACCTTAAGAACTCCGTTGGTTGGCCCTTTCAAGCTGGAGTGCGCGTGAACATTTGTTATCTTTGCTGCTTGGATAGTGTGTGCTTGGATGGTGTGTGCTTGGATAGTGTGTGCTTGGATGGTGTGTGCTTGGATAGTGTGTGCTTGGATGGTGTGTGATGAGTTTATGGATTGGATGGTGTGTTGTTGGATGCATGCATGCATGCATGATTGGATGCACCCCCAAGACTGTCCCCCACCCACCCTCGCCCTGCTTCTCCATCCAGGTACAACTCTCCGCCCGTATCCTACCCGTGGCAGTCCCTCCGGGCGCTATTCGTGCTCGTGGTCTACTCACTGCTCTCCCTGACTGACTGTGCCCTGTGCCCCCACCCCCTCCCTGCTCCCCTTTTCCATCCCCCCTCCTGCCCTCCCTCCACGCAGATACGACACCCCGTCTGTATCCTACCTGTGGCCATCCCTATGGGCGCTCTTTGTGCTCGTGGTCTACTCGCTGCTGGCTCTGGCCGTGTGGGCCATCTGCTGCCACCTCGTGCGTCTGGAGCGAGACTACCAGCGCATGCAGCGCCTCAAAGACCGCATGAAGGCAGCAAAGCTGGTTGCGGAACATGCCGCCAAGGCCAAGAGCAACTTCCTGGCTGTCATGAGCCACGAGCTGCGCACGCCACTGAATGCAGTCATTGGTAAGTGCTTTTTGTTTGAACGTGCTGTTAGTGGTGGTGGTGGTGGTGGTGGTGGTGGTGGTGGTGGTGGTGGTGGTGGTGGTGGTGGTGGTGGTGGTGGTGGTGGTGGTGGTGGTGGTGGTGGTGGTGGTGGTGGTGGTGGTGGTGGTGGTGGTGGTGGTGGTGGTGGTGGTGGTGGTGGTGGTGGTGGTGGTGGTGGTGGTGGTGGTGGTGGTGGTGGTGGTGGTGGTGGTGGTGGTGGTGGTGGTGGTGGTGGTGGTGGTGGTGGTGGTGGTGGTGGTGGTGGTGGTGGTGGTGGTGGTGGTGGTGGTGGTGGTGGTGGTGGTGGTGGTGGTGGTGGTGGTGGTGGTGGTGTGGTGGTGGTGGTGGTGGTGGTGGTGGTGGTGGTGGTGGTGGTGGTGGTGGTGGTGGTGGTGGTGGTGGTGGTGGTGGTGGTGGTGGTGGTGTGGTGGTGATGGTGGTGGTGGTGGTGGTGGTGGTGGTGATGGTGGTGGTGGTGGTTGTAGGAGCGAGACTACCAGCGCATGCAGCGACGCAAGGACCGCACGAAGGCCTAGGGATGAGCAAAAAAACGAACACCTGTTCGAGGCGAACCGAACAGGTTAATTTTTTTGGCTTAAGGTTAATTTTTTTGGCTTAAAGTGTTCGCCGAACAGTGTTCGATGTTCGCCCGAACACGTTCGTGTTCGGGCTGCTGCTGCAATTTGCCCCTAGATGAACACGAACGTGTTCGAGGTTCACCCGAACACGCCTTCATAGGCGAACGGCGAACACCTGTTTTTGCTTAAGGTGTTCGCCGAACCGAACAGTGTTCGGTTCGCCGAACAAGGGTGTTCGTGCATGGGCGAACGCGAACACGTTCGTTTTCGCCCCTTGCTCATCCCTACGAAGGCCGCCAAGCTCGTGGCGGAGCATGCTGCCAAGGCCAAGAGCAACTTGTTGGCTGTCATGAGCCATGAGCTGCGCACGCCCCTCAATGCAGTTATTGGTGAGCAGTGTTGTTGATATATATATATATATAGATATATACATACATATATGTTGGGAGGAAGGGTGTTCCAACAATTTGATTCAGTGGCAGCATGCAAGCTGCAGTTTTGAAAATAATCGTGCAGTACCGAGTGATTTCCTGCATTTCTGGCTCAGCAATTCGATTCTCACGTTGGTTGGTCGTTGTACATGTGCATTGGAGCTGCTTTGTCCACGCAATTACATGGATCCTTGACACTCCACCCACTCCCGTCGGAGAATGAAAGGATTCGAACCGAAGCTAGCTCTTGTTTCCTCCAAAATCTCAACTCAAAGTCGTTCCCTTCTGGGCGGACGGGTCACTCGAGTAGGGAAAGTAGTACTAAGCCGGAGTGCAATTAGCCATTCAGTAAAAGTGGAGGCTCTGGCTGGAACGTACGGAACGCACGGAACGCACGGAACTGCTATGAGTCCTATCCATTCCCATCATCTCGTGTCTTCTCGTGGCGCTGCCGACGTTCCCATCATCTTGTGTCTTCTCTCGTCTCTGTATCCCCACTCTTTCCACCCTCCTCTCCCTGTCACCCATGGCACCAGGCATGATGAATCTACTAGTAGACACAGCTGTGCACTACTCCGGCTGTTGAGTCGACTGAAAGTGCTCATGTCTCAACACCCTCCCTCTCAAGCTGTCCGTGTATTGGATCTGAACGAGGACAGAGATGCACGTGGGCATATATCACATGCATTTCAGCTTCTAACCCCCCCTATCCCCACTCACTGTCTCTCTGTCACCCCTGCCGCCAGGCATGATGAATCTGCTGGTGGACACGCCACTGGATGCCACTCAGCTGGACTACGCCGAAACGGCTCGCACCAGCGGACGGGCACTCGTTTCTCTTATCAACGACATCCTTGACTTGTCAAAGATCGAGGTACGTTCCCGCTTAAGGTAACCTGTTTCCTGTTTCAGGCAAGCTCTATAGCAGTCACTCTCGAGAATTCTCGAAGGGACATTTGAGACGTCTCAAAAGGAAAGCTCTGTAGCCGTCGCTTTTTCTGAATTCTCGAAGGGAACTTGTCTGTCTCCTGCTCAAGGCAAGCTTTCTCTGTGTCGTGAAGCCCGTTGTTTTGAGAGGTCTCTGAACCTTGTTGAAGAGCCAAGACTCATGCCTCCAACCCCAATAGCCACGTGATTGAAGAAGTGTTTTGAGACGTCTCAAACCACTTCTTCAATCAAGAGCCAAGACTCATGCCTCCAACCCCAATACCCCACATAGGCCAACCGCATGGTGCTGGAGAGAGCTCCTTTGGACATCAAGAGGGATGTGGACGAGGTGCTGACCATGTTTGTGAAGCGATTAATGCATGTGTGCGTGCGTGTTTGTCCATGTACTCACACACACCCCCCTTTCCCAGGCCAATCGTACGGTGCTGGAAAAGGCGCCTCTAGACATCCGGAGGGACGTGAACCATGTTTTTCTGCCACCGCCCAAACCCATCACCCCCAGGCCAACCGCATGGTGCTGGAGAAAGCGCCTCTGGATACCCGGAGGGATGTGGACGAGGTGCTGACCATGTTTGTGGAGCCACTCACGCATGTATGCATGCTTATCCATGCACTCACGCACCCCCTTCGCAGGCCAATCGCATGGTGCTGGAAAAGGTGCCTTTGGATATCCGGAGGGATGTAGACGAGGTGCTGACCATGTTTGTGGAGCGATTCAGAGAGAAGCCGCAAGTGGAGGTGGCGGCTTATGTCGACCCCTCCGTGCCGCAGCTCGTTCTGGGGGACTCACTCAGGCTCCGGCAGGTGCGGTGCAGTGCAGTGGAATGCAGTATAAATGCCGTATAATGTGTTGCAGCTGAGGTAGTGCGGTGTAATGCAATCTAATGTAATGCATTGCAGTGTGGTCGGTCAGTGTGCTTATGAAAGCATCGAGATTCACTGAACCTGGAGTTAAGCTCAACTGCCTTTAGCACTTGCTCCCTCGCACCCCACTAGGTGCTCACCAACATGCTGTCGAGTCGAATCGAATCGAATCGAATCGAATCAACATGCTGTCGAATCGAATCGAATCGAATCGAATCGAATCAACATTCTGTCGAATCGAATCGAATCAACATGCTGTCGAATCGAATTGAATTGAATCAACATGCAAGTTCATTGAACGTCGACACAACTGCCACAGCTGCGCACCAGCCCTCACCACGCATTCAAGAAACCCTCACGCCACAATCTCATTCCCATCATCCCTCCCACCCCACCCTGCACTCCGCCAGGTGCTGATCAACATGTTGTCCAATGCGTGCAAGATCACCAAGCGTGGACACACACATCCTCATTTCTATCCTCCTCTCACCCCCCTGGCACCACCCCACCAGGTGCTGATAAATGTGCTGTCCAACGCGTGCAAGTTCACCGAACGTGGACACATCCTGGTGTGTGTGCGCACGGCGCCCTTCACAGAGGACATCCGGCGAGTCATTGTGCTCAAAGGCATTGCCAAGCGCATGCCCACATGTGCTCCCCCTGCTGCTGCTGCCGCCGCTGCCGGTGGTGGTGGTGGTGCTGCTGCTACAGCCGCCGCCACTGCAGCAGCAGCAGCAGGGGCAAGGGCAGTAGAAACAGGCGGAACTGTGTGTGATTCCAGGGCTGCAGGGCAGGCGGAGCAGCAGAGGTCAGCAGGGCAGGCGGAGCAGCAGAGGTCAGCAGGGCAGGCGGAGCAGCAGAGGTCAGCAGGGCAGGCGGAGCAGCAAAGGTCCGCAGGACAGGTCGTGCCTCTGCCCTCCCCCAGCCTCCAAACCAGCAGCCCCACATTCAAACTCGGCGCCTCACCCAATGGGAACCCCCCGGCCTATCAGAGCGCGACAGGTGGCAGGGCGGTGGGGAGGGAGGAGTGGTTGGGATGTGCTGGGGCCGGTGGTGGGTGGCAGACGTCCATAGAATGGTCCCCTGTGATGGTGGGGAGCAGTAAGGGGAGCACGAGGGTGGTTGGGAGAGGGGATGGGAGGGAAGGGGAGAGGAGGGTGATGAGCCGGGGAGGAACTGGAAGCTCTGTGCAGTTTGAGAGGCTTGGAGAGGGGTATAGAGGCAGTGCTTCTATTGGTGGTGGTGGTGGTGGTGGTGGCAGCGGTGGTGGTGGTGGTGGTGGTGGTGGTGGTGGTGGTGGTGGTGGTGGTGGTGGTGGTGGTGGTGGTGGTGGTGTTGGTGGTGGTGGTGGGGGTGGTGGCGGTGGTGGTAGGTCTTCTGCTGCGATTGCTGCTTCCTCATCCTCATCTTCCCTTCCTGCCATGCCTCGCACCAGTACCCCCACCTCTGCTGCCCGCGCTGCCACCCCCACTGCATCCTCACCAGCAGGAGCAGCAGGAGGAGCAGTAGCAGCAGGAGGAGGAGCAGCAGCAGCAGGAGGAGCAGCAGGAGGAGCAGCAGGAGCAACAGGAGGAGCAGCAGGAGGAGCAGCAGGAGGCGCAGCAGGAGGCACAGCAGGAGGCATGTACCCATCACTGGCAGCAGGCACAACACTGAGTGGGCTGGAAGCAGTCGACTCGTGCAACAGCTGGGCCACCATCTGTGCCCTGCGCGCCCAAGCCAAAGCCGCCACTGCCCACCAGCGCGCGCACCTCACTCCCTCTCCTTCTGCTGCTGCCTCTGTTGCTGTTGGTGCTGCCTCTGCTCCTGCAGGTGCTGGTGCCAGTGCTGCCGCCAGTACCGCCACCTCCGGCCCTGGTGCCACCGCTGGTAACCACAGCGCCGCAGCGGTAACCGTCCTGCAGAAGAGCGTGCGGCTGGTGATTTCCGTAGAGGACACGGGCGTGGGGATACCGTACGGGGTGCAGCGGCACATTTTCAAGCCATTCGTCCAGGCAGACGCCTCCAACACGCGCACGCACGGCGGCACGGGGATTGGTCTTGCCATCTCCCGCCAGCTAGTGAAGCTCATGGGCGGGCAGCTGACGTTTTCCAGCCGCCCGGGGGTTGGCACGACGTTTTATTTTGACATTGTGGTGCCGTGTGCGAGTGCGGCGGAGGATGCGGATGCGAATGCGGCGGTTACCACCCCGCACGGCCGCGACGGGATGGGGGTCTTTCAGGGTTACTGGGGCGCTGCAGGCGCTGCTGCCGGTGCTGCTGGTGCTGCTGGTGCTGCTGGTGCTGCTGGTGCTGCTGGTGCTGCTGGTGCTGCTGGTGCTGCTGGTGCTGCTGGTGCTGCTGGTGCTGCCGGTGCTGCTGGTGCTGCTGGTGCTGCTGGTGCTGCTGGTGCTGCTGGTGCTGCCGGTGCTGCTGGTGCTGCTGGTGCGGGTGCGAATGGGGGGATTGAAGGCAACGTGGGGCAATCGGCTGTGGAGCTTCAGATGGGGTTCGACCGGAATGCGTCAGCCAAGGATGTGCAAGCTCTGGCTGATCTGGCTAGGGAGTCGGGCCACGGGGCCGACTGGCACAGGCAGCTGCGGCCGGGGTGCCGCGACGGGCAGTTCCGAAATGTTTCGGCGCGCGTTTTGGACGGGAATGCGGTGAGGAGAGAGATTGTGGAGAATTATTTGGAACAGGTTGGGGTGACGGTTGCGGGGGAGGGGGAGGGGGTGGAGGGGGGGGTTGGACAAGGGAGGGAGGCGGAGGGGAGGGGGAGGTGTAGAGTGGTATTGGTGGAAGCTGATTGGCTGTGGCGCCAGCAGCAGCAGCAGCAGCAGGACATGGGTACAGGCAGCAGCGCAGTTGTAGTGGGTACTGTCCCTGCAAACAACAGTAGCAGCAGTAGCGGCAGCAAGAGCAGCAGCAGCAGTGGTGTGGGTGGAAGTGCAGGTGGTGGGATGGTATCCCATGGTGGGATGGTATCCCATGGTGGGATGGTATCCCATGGTGGGATGGTATCCCATGGTGTGATGGTATCCCATGGTGGGATGGTATCCCATGGTGTGATGGTATCCCATGGTGTGATGGTATCTCATGGTGTGTTCCACAGGGGGGCTCAGTGGGACGCGGCGATTCTGGTGACACAGGAGAGGGTGGAGGAGGGCGAGGCCAGGAGGAGGGGCTTTGATGCAGTGCTGGTGAAGCCGGTGAGGTACGCTGCTCTCATGGGGTGTCTGGCTCAGGTTATGGACCGTAGCGGGGGTGGTGGTGGTGCTGCTGCTGCTGCTGATGGTGGTGGTGCTGATGGTAGTGGTGGTGTTGGTGTTGGTGGTAGTGCTGCTGATGCTGCTGCAGCCAGTTACGCCCCCTGTTTCGATAGGATAGACCGGCACGGCTACCGGCACACGCAGCAGCAGCAGCAGCAGCAGCAGCAGCAGCAGCAGGTGGATGGAAGCGTTACCAGTGCCAACACCAACCCCAACCCCAACCTCAACACCCACACCAACATCCACATCAGCAGCAGCGGCAGCAGCTGCGGGGGCGAGAGCAAGGGCAGCGGGAGCAGCAGAGGCAGGCTCACGGACACCCTATCGGCGGAAGGAGGGGATGTTATCTTCCCCACTGCTTTCCCCCCATCAGCCTCGGCATCCAGTGCCTCCATCCACTCCCTCTCGGGCCTGTCGAGGTCCGGCACTGCTTCGGCGGGTCTGCAGATGCCTGGCTCGGCCAGTGCAGGCTCGGCCATGCCTGGCTCGGCCAGTATTGGCTCGGCCGTGCCTGGTTCGGCCAGTGCTGCAGAGGAGGAGAGTGAGAGTGAAATCGTGCCCTTCAGTGGCCGCATGGGCCTCGTGCAAGGTAACTCAGCACAGGTTCACCCGACTGTTGTGGACTCAGCACGGTGTGACTCGGCACGCACTGACTCAGCAAGGTGTGACTCAGCACAACGAGCTGACTCAGCACGACGTGACTCAGCAAGTTTCGACTTTGCACGCGGTTACTCGGCACCGTCAGGTGGTGCCAGCTCAGTGCCAGCAGCAGCGCCAGCAGTAGCGGCGGCAGCGGCACCAGCAGTAGCGGCGGCAGCGGCGGGAAGAGATGCATCTGTGGTTGCTGCTGTTGCTGGTGCTGTTGCTGCTACTGCCGCTCCTATTAATGACGGTGTGGCGTATGCTACCGCTGCTGCTTCTCCTGCCACTGTTGCTGCTGCAGGCGGTGCTGCTGCTTCTCCTGCTGTTCCTGCTGGTGGGTCATTGCGGAGAGCCAAGAGCGGTCTGCCAGGCGAGGGTGGGGTGGGGAGGGAGGAAGCAGATGCAGAGGGAGTGGTGTGGCCGATAGGCCGAGACAGCCGAACCACCTCTGCTTCCCGTGCTGCTCTCGCTGCTGTTGTGGGAGGAGGAGCAGGGAGTAATAAGCAGCAGCAGCAGCAGCAGCAGCAGCAGCAGCAGAAGCCCAAGTCTGCGAGTTTTCAGATGCTGCAAGAGGCGTTGCAGGGCATGTCACTGCTGGTGGTATGTTCTCCCTCCCAACCAACCCTTTTGTAAAGGTCTTTTGAGTCGACTCGAAAGACACCAAGCCCAAGCCTACAAGTTTCCAGATGCTACTAGAGGTCCTGCAAGGAATTTCACTGCTCCCATCCCAACCCATTTGTTAGGATCTCTCTAGTGTTGCACTGCTCACTATTCTGTGTTGCTGAGCGCAACCGTCAGCAGGGTTGTGAGATCACTGTTCACTGCCGCTCCTCTCTCTCTCTCTCTCTCTCTCTCTCTCTCTCTCTCTCTCTCTCTCTCTCTCTCTCTCTCTCTCTCTCTCTCTCTCTCTCTCTCTCTCTCTCTTCCCTCCATCCCTCCCCTCCCCACACAGGTCGACGACAATCCGGTGAATTGCAAGGTGATCGGGCGCATGCTGCAGTGCTGCTTTTGAGTCGACTCAAAAAGCGGTGATCGGGCGCATGCTGCAGTGCTGCTCTGCTCACCATTCTTCCAATGCTTTCCGTTGCACTTCCTCCCAACCCCTCCCCCTTCCACTATGGACTGCCAGGTGGATGACAATCTAGTGAACCGCAAGGTGATAGGGCGCAAGCTGCAGCAGTACTCTGCTCTTCCCTCATACCTTTCTCCCCACATTGCACTTCACACTCCCCCCATACCCCCTCTCCCCACCCATACTCCCAGGTGGATGACAATCTAGTGAACCGCAAGGTGATAGGGCGCATGCTGCAGCGGTATGGCGTGGGGGTGGAGATGGTGGATGGCGGCCGCAAGGCCATTGAGAGGCTCGTCTCGGGCGGGTGGGACATCGACTGCGTTCTCATGGACGTGCAGGTGTGTGTGTGTGTGTGTGTGTGTGTGTGTGTGTGTGTGTGTGTGTGTGTGCGTGCGTGCGTGCGTGCGTGCGTGCGTGCGTGCGTGCGTGCGTGCGTGCGTGCGTGCGTGCGTGCGTGCGTGCGTGCGTGCGTGCGTGCGTGCGTGCGTGCGTGCGTGCGTGCGTGCGTGCGTGCGTGCGTGCGTGCGTGCGTGCGTGCGTGCGTGCGTGCGTGCGTGCGTGCGTGCGTGCGTGCGTGCGTGCGTGCGTGCGTGCGTGCGTGCGTGCGTGTGTGTTGAAACCGGAGTCCCAAACAGCCCCAAACTGCCTCAACCTTTTTAACTTTGGTTGGGTATGACCCAGTTGATACCAGCTCTCCTCGCAAATTGTTGGGACGATTTTCGCCAAGCGAAATTACTGTTCAAGCGAGGACGATAGTGGTGACAAATTCGCTAACACATTTGCAGCCCGTCCGAAACAGTCAGCGAACGAGTTCTGACGTAGCATTCCAGATCTGGTTCTCGCGATTTTTTCGTACTTAGTGACCCGCAACCACTGATTTCGACACCACCCTGGCTCGCGAGCCAGTCACCTCTCTCTCCCCTTTCAACCTTCCGAACTTAGAAACTCTTGGACCTCCGGTTTTAAGGTGTTACAGACAGTGTTGAGTTGTTACAATGTTACAGTGTGCCTCTAGGCTTGTGGCGGGCGGGATGAGACATTGACTGTGTTCTCATGGACGTGCAGGTGGGTCTGTCTGTTAAGGTGTTACAGTATTGAGTCTTTACAGTGTTACAGTGTGCCTCTAGGCTTGTGGCGGGCGGGATGGGACATTGACTGTGTTCTCATGGACGTGCAGGTGGGTCCGATGAGACGTTTAAGTTTTTTCTCTCTTCGTTTTGTTGGTATTCTGTAACTGAAGAGACATATTTACTTATGAGATATCTTGGCTTTCGAGACGGAACTCATGAAGCCACTTAGCTATTGAGCCGTCTTGACTAATGAAATGCCTACTCAATGGGATGTATTAACTATTGACGTTCTAACCCTGGCGATGTTTGATCGTTACAGATGCCGGAGATGGACGGGTGCGAAGCAACAGCTGCGATCAGGAAGCTAGTTTTGAGGCGTCTCAAAAGCTAACTCTTCAAACCGTACTAACTGATGTGATGTGTCTGTTTTGATTCTCAGATGCCGGAGATGGACGGGTGCGAAGCAACAGCTGCAATCAGGAAGCTGGAAGGGGAGAGGCGGATGGAGAGAGAAGAGCAGGCACAGAGGGCAGAAAGGGCAGAGAGGGAGGAGAGGGAGGAGGGGGAAAACGGGGCAGAGAGGGAGAGAGAGTGTGAGAGAGAGGCTCTACTGCAGAACGAACAAGTGAGGGCTGGCTTTCCCCTTTTTGCACAGGACGTGTCAGCAGCAGGCTCAGCAGCAGCAGCAGCAGCAGCAGCAGCAGCAGCAGCAGCAGCAGACTTGTCAGCAGCAGCAGCGGCAGCGGCAGAAAGCACGAAAAGAGCTCTTCCTAAGCCACCCACCCCCGCCAGAACCCCATCTCCTCTGCACCCTCGGAAGTCCCCACCGCAAGCCCCAACACACATGCGCTCGCCCTCGTTCCAAGGCCCCACCTCCGCCTCCCCGTTGCAGCTCCTCAAAAGCAACCGGCACCGGCGGCATGTGAGCAGCGGGGACCTGGATGGCCTGGGGGTGGGGGTGGGTGCCTGTGCACCCTCTCAGGCTGGAGTGCAATCTGGGGTTCTCCTAGGCTCTCCTGCAAAGCTGGGGTTCTGCCCGTCTGTGACGGCTGGTGGGGAGTCTGTAGCAGTGCACAGCCAGTCTTCCAAGTCTGGGCAGTTTGCAGCGGTGAAGCACAACCCTGCACTGCAGTCTAGGTCAACTGCAGCAGTCTGCCTAAAAGTTGAGCAATCAGCGGCAGCAGCGCATACCCCGGCACGGGGCAGTGTAGCAAGGCCTAGAGCAGTGGCTGTAGGCTCTATGGAAGGGCCGCAGGGGGAGGTGAGACCTGGGACGAGTACTCCCAAGGGAGGGGTGTTTTCTAAGTGGGTGGAGCTGACTAGTCCCACCTGGGGTAGGCAGCAGGTTTTGGAGCAGCAGCCGCTTCTGGAAGAGGAGGGGAAGAAGGGAGAGGGAGGAGTGACGAAGAGGGGGAGCCAGATTCAGCAGGGGAACGAGCAACACCAGCAAAGGCAGGTTGTGCAGCAGCAGCAGCAGCAGCAGCAGCAGCAGCAGCAGCAGAGGCGAGTTCGAGATATGGATAGGGTGTTGATATTTGCGCTGACTGCGGATATTGGAGCGGGAACGAGGGAGCGGTGCACGCAGGTGGGCATGGATGGGTACATGACAAAGCCTGTGGAGGAGGAGCAGCTGTGCCGAGTGATGCTCGGTCCCCTCAGATTACGGAAGCAAATGAAAATGGGAGCAGCATCTGATGAAGAGTAGCTGCTGGAGCTTTGGAAGGTGTGCTTTCAGTGGCAAAGCCGAACTTCTGTACAAAAATTATTTATTTGCGCTGGTTCTGACCAGGGCTCTTGCTAGGATTTGGGCCTGTCTGAAAACACCAAAGTAAAAAATCATTCCGTCTGACGATCAGACCGGCATATTTTTCTGGTCTGATTTTCCAGACGAATGCTGGAGCTTAGTCTGATTTTCCAGACTATTAAATTTGCATAGTCTGATTCAGCTAACACCCTTGTCTAGCATAATCACACTTGTTCTTGTTAATGAACGCGCCCCTGGCGCGGCGCTGACAGCTCGTTAGCTGATAGGCGTGTGGCTGTTGAGGGGCATGCACGTGGCATTGAGGTGCTGCAAGGGATCAGGTTGGGTGGAGGGACGCGAGAAGGAAGGGGGGGGCTGGGCTGTTGCGAGACTTCACGAGGGGCATGGGGAGTGGACCAGGGGGGGAGGGGGAGAAGGTCTGGACTAGGCCTGGAAGAGGAGCGAGGGCATCTAAAGGGGGGCTGAGCTTTAGAGAAGCGAGGGATCGGGGGGGGGGGGGGGGGGGGAGGGGGTTCGGTATCAGACGAATTGCAACCCGCTATCTGAAATTTCAGACTAAGTATAAGGCTTGCTCTGAAAAATCGGATGAACTAAAATTCGTAATCTTAGGGCATGTTCCTACGGCCCCTTATCAGGCCAACCTCTTATCAAGCTCGCGTCAAAACACACTGAAAATTTCATAAACCTAAAAACCCTCGCTACTTTTACCAGGCAAGGCTGACAAGAGGTTTGCCTGATAAGAGCGTAGGAACATGCCCTTACGGATCAGACGAAGTAAAGATCCTCGTCTTGAAAATCAGATGAAACCCAAAATCAAGGTCTGAAAATCAGAAAATCAGACCAACTTGGTCTGATAACGAGAGCCCTGGTTCTGACCATTCGTTTACATCTTGTGCATATACCATGTTGTGTAGACAGGTCTCCTTGGTTACTGTAGGTGTTACACATGCAACGGAACCAGCGAACGATGATTTGAAGTTGAGGAAAATACGAGTGAAGGCATGTGAAAAATAATAGCCAAGTATTTGGTGTCAACCTGTAGGTTGGGGATTGGTTCAGGCATTCTATTGCTGGATAGTGTACTTTTATTTTTACATGGGCATAGGGCTGGTCGTTTTCGCGTGCAGGGAAATGTGCATGGATCGTTGAATTGAGTTGCGTGGTAATGAGAATGAGATGGAGTGAAGTGGAAGTTCCCTTAGAGTACTTTGGTTCGTAGTGTAAATATAGTTGTTCACTTTGTTAGCGGGTCACCTGGCGTACGAATATTGTCGAGTATTGTGGCTTTTGCAATTCCTGAAGCGAATCTCAGCGGACCAGAAACAGTCTCCGTCAGCATCCACGCTTCATTACGCCAGTCGATTCCTGACAGGGTGAAATGGTGCGTGTTTCCCAAATTCGAGGACAGGCCCTGCTCGTAGCCAAGCTTGCCAGCAGGTGATCTCCTCAGTGCCTTTAAGTCGACGTGGCGTGACGTTTGTCTATTTCCAGGTTCTTTGTGCGTGCGCGTCATCCACCCCCAGGAGTGCGGGATGCTGGAATTTGGATTGCTCTGCGTGTATGAGTGGATCGGGCTGCTTTAGTTGACCCGGCTCTGTGCTGGCAATCCCATGAAATTCGCGTGAAGAGTCGATTTGCTTGGTCAGACTCCACACCTGGAAACTATCCAGCATAATCTTTTGTCAGCTGACGTGCAATCTGAGGCCATCTCAATGCACGATGAGACGAGCGTGGTCCCCCCGCTGACGTGGTGACATCGCAACACGTGGTAACTGATCGCTGGATGGTCCGTGGCCAAACCACCACTTCATCGCGATTTGTTCCGAGCGCTCATGTCTGACTTGTACAGCGACCCTGGCTTCGTGTGATGTCGCAACGCCACACCATCAGCTCTCCGACCAGCCAAACCATTTCCCCGCCTGACCAGTCCGCAGCAGTTCGTCCCGGGGCACCTACTAGTGCGGCACTTCGCAGTCCTCCGCAGGAAACCCTTAGCGGAACGCTTGCGGACAGTCGCTCCGCACGATGTGCTGGATTTGTGGATAAAGGGCCTAGCGAGCGAATGAGAGGAAGAGAAGCAGCCAGTCCGTTTTGAGCGCGTTTCAGAATCGCAAGCCACGCAGCCAAGCAAAGACACTTCCACTGTTTGCGCCTCACCACACCTTCCGAATCCACACCGCCACCACTCCACACCAGGCCTTCATTCCCTCTCTCCCTGCATCTCGTCACCTCCCCTCTATTCCACTCGCCTCCCTACTCCTCACCCATCCCCTCCCTTCCTCCCCTCATCTCCTCTCCGCTCGTCTTCCTCCCCCCTGCATTCCGCCACTGGTTGCAGAGCCGTAGGTTAGCCATAGCATGCCATGAGCGTTCCTCCGCGTACCCCAGATCTGCGCGGAGCAGAGAGCAGAGCCACAGAGCAGCAACCAACGGAACCAACAGTAGAGTCGCCTCATCGTGCCGTGCCATTAGCGGATCCATAAAGGGGAGAAGCAGCAGGCCCCAGAGAGTGAGTCCGTGCAGAGTGTGACGGCAGTAGCTTGGAAGAAAACCTACCACCCACCACCATTGGAGCAACGGGTACATATAGCGGTGACGAAGCAGCAGTGGAGCCATTTAGAGACTGATCGAGCGTTGACTCCCACACGACTCGCCAGACCTCTCCTTGAACTCTTTCTTTTTCGAGGCTCTTAGCTTGAGATTTCGCTTCGTGAATCCAATTTCTTGTTCCTTAGGTTGAATATTCTGCTCATAACGCACTGTCATCATTTATCTCCACCAAAGCGAGTCTGAAGCATGTCGTTCGCTACGTTGTCCAGTTGGGATGTCCACCAAAGCGCGTCCTTCCCATTCGCCATGACCCGCTGCTCGCATATTCCTTCAGCCGAGCTTCCATCCGAACCCACTTACGCGTCGCTGAAGCTCCATCCGCTGCTCTCTCCGTCGCAGGAGCATGTCGTCCGTCAGTTCTCAGCCCTCTCCATGCACTTACACGAGCAGCAGCACCACCAGCAGCAGCAGCATCAGCACTGCCACCGGCATACTGCAAGCGAGCCACAACCGCAGCCGCAGGAGGAGCAGGAGGCCATGCACCCTCTTCCCTCCTTAAAGCAAGATGCTTTTCGGAGAATTTCGTGCGCGGAAAGCGAGCAATTCATGGCTCGTCTTAACCTAGAAGAATCGGCTAATGCGGCTAACGAGGCAATTCTTGAGGCATCTCAAAACTCGGCTGATGGGGGTAAGGAGGCATCGCCTGCAGTATCTCCCGCGTCGCCTGGCGTCGAACCGTTGGAGCAACTGGGACACAGTAACATCCCATTTGATTTGGCGAGAATTTCCCCGCGTTATTCAGGCTCGTCCCTTCCCATCGGCGGTAGCTCCGCGGGAAGCGGGGGAAGCGCGCTTGTTTTTAGCAGCGGCATACTTCCTTGGCTTCGGAATCCCAGCGAATTGGATTTGAACCTTCCTGCGTCACCGGCGGCCGACTCCGCAGCTACTCCCGCCCTTCCGCCGTCTTCTGCGGCCTTCCCTTCGTCGTTCCAAGTGCTCAGTTCCAGCTTCTGGGATTCCAGCGCGAATTGCGGTTTAAATGGCGGCGCCGCGTCACCCCCTATTTCCGAGAATTCGTCGGAGTCGTCGCTGGTGGCGTGTGGCACTGAGAGCAGCAGCACGGACATGGATGACGAGGAGGATAATAACGAGGACGAGGATGAGGAGGGTGATGGAGAGGCAAACTCGGGATTCAAGCCGCTGAGCCTGAAGAAGAAAGTGTCGGCCATGGCCTCCCTTCCCTCACAGTAAGCGCGTTATTTCGTTTTTATTCCTTTTACTAATTCGCCTTTTTCCATACGTTTTAAGCCTCTCATTTCTATCTTGCCGAGTGATTCACGGTACGTGATTTAAGCGACTAACCAGCAATTGCGTCTCTCCTTCCCCTTGCTAACCTACAGACGAAGCCTTTCGTCCCACTTCGGAGGCAAATCTCGCACCTTCTCGTCGCTCGCTGACGTGTCAGCCATCCAGACCATTCACGGCCTCGCAAAACCGCCTCCAGGCCTCTGCCTCCGCCGAATGCGCCGTCGTTCGCGGCTTTCCTCCGCATCTGCTCTCCGCCACAGCCCCTGCGCCATCCCCATCGCTGCTGCGCACCGCAGTATAGGCAAGCATCGCTCAGGTGCTGGGGTTGGCGCTGGCGCTGGCATTCGTGGAAGCAGTTTTGGACGGCTGGCGGCTCAGCAGGTTCAGTTCTCGCTGGCGCTGGCTGTGTCCATGGGAAGCGCGGGTTGAAAGGTGACGCGGATGGGTTGAATGATTGTGCATGGAGCAGCTTCAGGGAGAGAATTGTGCAGAACGGCGACAAGATGGAGCAGTTTTGAAAGCACTACCACAGTTTTGTTTGGCTTTCCAAGAAGCAGCACGTGGTTGTAAGAGGGATTTCTGTGGATGATGATTTGCGATAACAAGGCACTGCTGCTGGCTGGTTCTTTGCGCTATACTTTGGAGGCTTTAAGACAAGACTTGGATCGGATGTCCGTCCACACCAGCTGCTACACTTCACCGGCTCGTCAAGCATGAACTGAAGCACCTATTCCGCTTTCTGCTGTTCCCGGCGAAGAGATTGAGTCGCGACATCATGAACGCGGAAGGCAATTCATGCTGAACGTGAGCTTCGTGCCGGTATGTTCAGAGATGGCAGCTGGTTGTGGGATCGTCTGGAGCCATGATTCTGCCAATAATGAGATCCAACAGTGGGCTTTTGTGTGCATTCACAGTAGATGCTGCTGCACCAAGGTAGGCCAGGGATAGGTTGGCAAATTTTGGAGCAAGCTTGGGTCATGCCTCGTGTCCCTTGCTGGTATTGCCAGCCCCTCCTCTACTACTCATGCTATGTCTTCCTGCTAGCTAGTGCTGCATTTCTGCCTGCTGTTGGATGTGCGTTT